CAACTTAACCCCTTCTTTATCTAAAATTTATCCTCTATCTTTCTCTCTCTTTCTAACCAAACTCTCATTCTTCACTTGTAATACGCTTTATCGGAAAAATAAAAGGGTCGTTGGAAAAGACATAGCACGACGGAAATCACCGTCTTCTCCGGCGACGGTCACTCTTCTCACCACAAACCTAACATAACCCCTACTCGTTTTTTTTTCTTAACTCGAATCTGACTTCTATTTCACATAAAACCTGGTCAAAACAAAAAAAAATCACCCTTTCCCTCTTTTGAACCCTAATCGTGAGAATCAAACTTCAACAACAACCCCAAAACGCATAAATAGTGGATGGTGAAAAGGAGCAATAAAAACAAACACGGAAGCAAAAAAGCGAAGGAGAAAAGAAAAGATACCAATCAAGAAGATCTTCACCTTCAGATTCCAACCAGACCAAAGATAGATAAGTATTATTTAACTCATTCCTTTCTCTTTTCCTTAGAAAAACTGCTCTTAGGTCTTTTTGAAACCTCTCTTGTAAGAGGGTTTAGGGTTTTCTTGTGATGTGTTGTTTTTGATAATACACTCTTTATGTTTTTTATTTTATTTTTTCCGATCCCCTTTCACTGATCTAACCCCTCTTTTGAATGAAATTCTTGGTATTTGATGTTGAATTCTTGGTTGCTGTGTTCTTAACTTATGCTATAATTGTTTGTCCTTTTCCAAATTCGTGTTAAGGTTTTCTGTTGTTGCTCTGTGATTTCCAAAAATTTCATTTTTCATGAATTTTGACCTGTAGTTTATTGTCCATTTCATCCTGACTTTCGACATCAATTCTGGAATTATTGTCTTGTTCTGAAATTGGGCTTTGTGATTAAGTGCTCTGAATTTCTCTGTACCTCTGTAATTATGTCTGGTTGTGAAATAAGGCTTTGTGACACAAAAGGATGTTACATATGGTGATGATTCAAATGCGATGATTCTATGCTTGACATGAATTGTATTGGACATAACATATGGTTCTGAACAAAATATGATGATTTGGAAACCATGGTTTAGAAATTGGTTTTGGTGTGAAAATTGGAATTTGATTTAAAATTGAATAGTTTGAGATTTTGGATTATGGTTTGAAATGAATTGGTCTAAGATTTGAACGAAATGATTTGTTTTGATTTGAATTTAGTTTAGAACATGGTTTGAATTAACACGATTTGGTCTTGGTTTGTGAATTGAAAATATTTATGTTGATTTTGAAACTGTGGATGGAAATGGATGAATATGAACTTGGTTTTTTTTATGACAAAGTTTTGAATTGGATTTTGATGATTGAATTGAAATTTGGTTTGAGTGAAGATTGAAAAGGTTTTGACATGGCTTGATTTTATTTTTAGTAGGTTTGAGGATGAGAAACATGGAGATGGCGATGAGGGCAAGGAGGCATTATGGAGATGAACTCACATGGCATAACAAAGATTTGGTTGAAGATTGAAGAATAATTGAAGACTTGGTTTAGTTTTGTAACATCAAGCTTAGGATCCTTTGTAATCTAAAAAAAAACTTGTTGTAAACTTTGATTCTTAGAATGCAATTTGCAAGTTTGAATTATAATGTCATAACTAAATTGATCTTGAATTCATTTGGATGAGTTTACTTGGAAAAGAAAATAAAAGAGAATTTGAAACTCGAATTAAAAAAATGACTATGGATTGAAATCTTGGCTAGAACTAAAAAGGAACTCAAAATTGGATTGAGATTGAGAGGCTTGAATTTGAATTGAATTAGAATAAATTCACTTTAAAATGAAATTGGGAGTGGATCTGGAAACTATTGGAAAGAAACTCACAACTATGGCTAAGACACTTGAGTTTGTACATGGAATGTGAATCAGAATCTTAGCTAAAACACTTGAGTCCATCTTGAACAGGCGACATTCTTGACTTGCACCCGCAAAATACCCTTGTGATCAAATTCAAAATCCTGAATTCTTCCTCATACAAAAGCTGCATTGAGACTCTGAATCAATTCTATGGGAAATGATTCCACATCCTAACTCCAACTTGAAGCAATCTTGATGAGAACATGACCTGAATGATCATGCCTTGAAACGCTGACCAGAAGTCTTAACTTTGATGGCTCTGCCACTTGACCTCATCAAATAGACCTTTATCGGGTGCAAAACCCTAATCCTAACCATTTAACAATAAGCATAAACTTCTTGAAGTTGGTACTTTCTTACCCTCCAAACAATCTACAACACAAATGACTTGAACTGAAACAACCACTGCACCAAAATCTTGATTGAAAGTGAAATGGCCCAGACACAAATACTTCATCTACAGCCTGATACTTGACACTTAAATAAATTGATCCCTGATTCAGTCTTAAAAAATTTGAGCCCTAGAGGATATTTGTGATGGAACAAAAATACACTGGCTTGCTGATGGGAACAACAAAAAAGTCTCTTAGAGATATAAAGACTTGGTTGATTGGAGATTCATCCAAAACTTGATGAGTCAGTGCCCTTATCCTTTTGACCAAAGCCCTAGTTCCATCAGAAGAATATAACCACAAAGCTTGATATCTTGGTTAGTTGTGCAAGGATGATTGACCTAAGATGCTTATGCAAATGATGATGACAACTAAGGGGTAAATTTTAGGGTATGACAATTGACAATCCAAATTGTAAAAGTGTGTAGCAATATCTACTACAGAGGACGTGTTCAATGCTCCTTAGATGAAAAAACTTCCCTAAGAATTGTATCAGAGCCTTTGGTTTGAGTGAAAGACCAACTTACTTATATCGAAAGTACTCCCGATAAGTGGTGGATATGAGGTGTCCCGTTGAATAGTGTCAACAACGGTACAAGTGTATGTGGATGAAAAAGAGCTTTCGCTTAAAGGGGAACACTATGGATAAACTCACGCTTCAGGGGGAGTGTTGAGTTTAACAAGTGTACACCTCAGAGGAAGTATTGAGTATAACAAGTGTGAGTAGTATGAGTAATAATCCCATCTTGACTAGAAATGTGGAGGCTTAAATATTTATAAGTTAGAGAACCCATATATCTATCACCTTAAGGTTTTGGGTGAATATGTGGCGTGCCTTTTACAAAAGTGTTGCTCAAAGAAGGAAGTATCACAATGTTCAATACTCCTTAGTAAAAAAACTTCCCCAATACATACACATGAAAACTCTTTAACTATTAAAAGTCAATGCGAATATTTGATTCTCTACCATATGTAGAGAAATGCTAGGTTGTTATTAATAATCATGATGGAATATAAATTTTGCTCTTGCTTATAACAAAGTTGTAGCTCATTTTAGCTAAAGCTCTAAGATATATATATATATATATATATATATATATATATATATATATATATATATATATATATATATATATATATATATATATATATATATATATATATATATATATGCATAAGAACTGATTAACAGTTTTAGCAATAAAGTAATAAGAGTCACAAATGATGTATAAACTAGTGCGATAACATAGTAGTAGAAGTGATAACATTAGCAAGTATAATCTATAAACTGATTAACAATTTTTATTCTTACAGTGACTATGAGAAGCAATGGACCAAAGAGATCCTCGCTCATTATCAAAGAATCTTGTGGAACATCTCATAAAATAGTTGGAGCAATTTTCTACAATTTAAAAACACACATTAAACTAGACAAACAAATTTATCAACAAAGACACTTGTTAGTCATTACCAAATCATTATCAAGAGAACAATAAAATAGAAAGGAATGACAAAAATTAAGTTTTTAACAGATAAATTTTCAGTAGATCTACTTGATTGATGAAAAGTTTCAGTGAACGAAACATACCTAACTAGTAAGCTCCTTGGCAACATGCTTGCAAACCTATGCAAAATCAAATCAAAATCCACAAAATTTAGCATGTAAACATTTCAAATAAAAAATTCTTAAATTATTAACGATTGATTGATGAAATAAAAAAAAAAAGAAGAAATAAAACGTCTTCTCCTTTGAGTTTGTTCCAGGAAGATTCACGGTCAGAGGTTAGTTCTAATGGTTTAAGAAGGAGAAGATATAAGAAGGTGAAGACTAGAGTTTTGGAGAAGGGAGTAGAAAAAAAAGAATGCAATTTGCTTCAAACTTATTTCTCTGTCACATAAATAATGTTTAATAAGTTATAAATAACATGTCAATTAAAATAGTTTTATGTCATCTAACCTTATTAAGTTGGAGTGTCACGCATACATAAATTAACAGAATTCGAGAAAATTTAACGGACAAGACCAATTTAACTAAATGAATGACATTTAAGAAACTTAAAATAAATGTTTTATTAAATAAGAGATTAAGATGAAACTTAAAATTAAGTTAAAAGACCAAAGAATACATTAACTCAATAAAGTATAACTGATTAATTTTTTTAAAAAAACTAAATCAAATTTAGTTCATTTATAAAACCAAATTAAATCAAACTTAATTAATTAAAAAAAATCAAATTACACCAAATACAAATAAAAAGAACCAAGTCCATGACTCCCAAATAATAGCGATTGCTTTGAATCAAATTACTGATGAGTTCACACAAAAATATAAATGATATATTTTTATTTAATATAATTTTAAATGGAAGTTATGTAAAAGATTAATAGTAGAGAGTTAATAGGAGAAAATTATGTAAAAAATGATAATAGTGATTTTAATAGAAGCTATTGTGTAAATTATACATCAAAATAAATGTAAAATTGGTAAAAAATAGACTACAATATTATAATAAGACAATTTAGGTTCGGAAATAGAACTAGAAGGATCTAGTTATTGTTTTTGTTATTTTATTTATTTTGAAAATAGAAAATAGAACAGTCTAGAAATACTGAAACCCTAACAAACACTTATATATAACACCCAATTCATTTCTCATTCTTCATATTAATTTTTTAAGCTTCTTGTCTGAAATCCATTTCCAAAAATCCCTAACTCTTTTCTTTCATCGAAGAAAAGCAATTCAACAATGGCGGATCAAGAGACGTTTGCTTTCCAGGCTGAGATCAATCAACTTCTCAGTCTCATCATCAACACGTTCTACAGCAACAAGGAGATTTTTCTCCGTGAACTCATCAGTAATGCCTCTGATGTAAGTTTCTCTGGCGCTCTGTTTTACGATCATTACTCGTTCATCTTGTTGCATGTTTAGTTTTATTTGTGTATAATTATTTGATCTATGTTAGGTTTATTGTTTTTAAGCTTCATTCACTGAAGATATTTTTTTGTTGTATTTTTGTTTGAATGGGTTATTATGATCTCAGGGTTTCTGTTAATTGATTACGAGTTGCGTGACTGTTTTTTAAGCATTATGATGATCTGTCAACTTGTTTTTATTATATTGTTTTTTACTGTAATTGTGGTGATCGCAGTATGCAATTGATTAATGTGGTTTTGATTTTGTATTAAGTAGTGTTTTTTCGATGTTAATTCTTATCTATTTCTTAATTGAAATACCTAAATTGAGTTTTTAAGTGGTCTAGTTATATAGTACTTATTATATCTAATTGTGATCTATTTTCATTTGATCCACATGTTGCCCTTATTAATAAGAACCAACTTTTACGTTTGATTCTTGGATTATTAACATTTACTCTATTGTAATATTTGGTGAAGTTTTTTGGAATGTTTGATCTGATTGATGGATTTCGTTTGCTCTTATTAATAGTGCGACAAGAGTTTATAATTGATTCTTGGATTATTGACATTACTTTGTATTAGAATATTTGGGGAAGTTTTTAGGAATGTTTGATGTCATTGATGGGTTTTGTTGTTGAGTGGTTTTTTTTATTCTTATCTTTGAGTGTTAATGTAGGCTTTGGATAAGATTCGATTTGAGGGCTTGACAGACAAGAGCAAGCTTGAATCTCAGCCAGAGTTGTTCATTCACATCATCCCTGACAAGACAAATAACACATTGACTATTATCGATAGTGGAGTTGGAATGACTAAAGCTGGTAAGATAATAGTCAGTGAAACTGGTTTATGTTGTTGCCCTGTTTGTTGTGTGACTATTTGTGTTTTTCTCTTAACACGTGTCTGTTTTGTGTTTCAGATTTGGTGAACAACCTAGGTACCATTGCAAGGTCAGGTACCAAAGAATTCATGGAAGCTTTGGCTGCTGGTGCTGACGTGAGCATGATTGGACAGTTTGGTGTTGGTTTCTACTCTGCTTATCTTGTAGCTGAGAAGGTTATTGTTACCACCAAACACAATGATGATGAACAATATGTGTGGGAGTCTCAAGCTGGTGGCTCATTCACTGTGACTAGGGATACAACTGGTGAAGCTCTTGGCAGAGGAACTAAGATAACTCTTATCCTCAAGGAAGACCAGCTCGAGTATCTTGAGGAACGCCGTCTCAAGGACTTGATCAAGAAACATTCTGAATTTATTAGCTATCCAATTTCTCTTTGGATTGAGAAAACTATTGAGAAGGAGATTTCTGATGACGAGGATGAGGAAGAGGAGAAGAAGGAAGAAGAGGGTAAAGTTGAGGAAGTAGATGAAGAGAAGGAAAAGGAGGAAAAGAAGAAGAAAAAGATTAAGGAGGTATCTCATGAGTGGTCTTTGGTGAACAAGCAGAAACCTATTTGGATGAGGAAGCCTGAAGAGATTACAAAGGATGAGTATGCTGCTTTTTACAAGAGTCTTACTAATGATTGGGAAGAGCATTTGGCTGTTAAGCACTTCTCTGTTGAGGGTCAGTTGGAGTTTAAGGCTGTCCTCTTTGTACCCAAGAGGGCACCTTTTGATCTCTTTGACACAAAGAAGAAGCCCAACAACATCAAATTGTATGTCCGCCGTGTCTTCATCATGGACAACTGTGATGAGTTGATGCCTGAATACCTTAGCTTTGTTAAGGGTATTGTGGATTCTGAGGACCTTCCACTTAACATTTCAAGAGAAACCCTTCAGCAGAACAAGATTCTTAAGGTCATTAGGAAGAACTTGGTGAAGAAGTGTCTTGAACTTTTCTTTGAAATTGCTGAGAACAAGGAGGATTACAATAAGTTCTACGAGGCTTTCTCTAAGAACTTGAAACTAGGTATCCACGAGGATTCTCAGAACAAGACTAAGCTAGCTGATTTGCTCAGGTACCACTCCACCAAGAGTGGTGATGAAATGACCAGCCTCAAGGACTACGTTACCAGGATGAAGGAAGGACAGAATGACATCTACTACATTACAGGTGAAAGTAAGAAAGCTGTTGAGAATTCTCCATTCCTTGAGAAGCTTAGGAAGAAGGGGTATGAAGTGATTTACATGGTTGATGCTATTGATGAATATGCTGTTGGTCAACTCAAGGAATTTGAGGGTAAGAAGTTGGTGTCTGCTACTAAGGAAGGTTTGAAACTTGATGAGAGTGAAGATGAAAAGAAAAAGAAGGAAGAACAGAAGGAGAAGTTTGACAACCTCTGCAAGGTGATCAAAGAAGTGTTGGGCGACAAGGTTGAGAAAGTTATTGTTTCTGATCGTGTTGTAGACTCTCCCTGCTGTCTAGTGACTGGCGAGTATGGTTGGACTGCCAACATGGAGAGGATCATGAAGGCACAAGCTTTGAGGGATAGCAGCATGGCTGGTTATATGTCAAGCAAGAAGACAATGGAAATCAACCCTGACAATTCCATCATGGAGGAGCTTAGGAAACGTGCTGATGCTGACAGGAATGATAAATCTGTGAAGGATCTTGTTCTCTTGTTGTTTGAGACTGCACTTTTAACATCTGGATTCAGCCTTGATGAGCCAAACACTTTTGGCAACAGGATTCACAGGATGCTCAAGCTTGGACTTAGCATTGATGATGATGCTGTTGAAGCTGATGCTGACATGCCACCATTGGAGGAAGCTGATGCCGATGCAGAGGGTAGCAAGATGGAAGAGGTCGATTAAGTCTGACGTAGTGCTAGTTTTAGAAAGGTCTGGGTCGATGTCTTTTATGATGTCTTTGTTTTTAGTTTTTAATTTTGGAATGTGAACAATACTAGATGCAGTTTAATGGACCATTGTAACAATGGCTTATTTTTCAATAGTTTTTGGTGTCAATTGTTGACTTGCGTTCTTTTTTGTTTTCTTCCGACAAAATTGGTGCTATATTTGCGTCTTATTGACTATTTTGAAATTTTGAAATATTTTTAGAAAGAAACAAACAAAACAAGGAGCTTTTACAAATAACTAATTACAATTTTTTTATTAAAAAATTAACTAAAATTTAATCCACTGATTAAATCTTAATTAGTTATTCTACGCATTCGTGAAAAAAACATTCTGACTACATTTTTGAAGTGCACAAACCCCTTGTTCCATGTTATAAGCATGGAGGGATATAAAATGTTTTAATAGTTGTACTTTTTTTATTATTTTATTATTTAGCATTTTTTAAAATTTAAACCGTCATCAATATAAGTATAACTAGAGAAAATAAATAAATAGATACTGACCCAAGGAGAAAATGTTTTAGTTCATCATGTTGAATCGAAAATAAACTGATTCTACTAAGTATAATCCTCACCAAAAAAAATAAAACTACAAAACTATCTACTTCATATGTATAAAAAAATTAAGAATTATATTTATTGAAAAATATTTATGATTTGAGTATAAAATTCTATTGTTTGAAATAAACGCCCCTTAAAGTAAAGTCTATAATTTTTTTCTTTCAAATAACCAAAACGCATTATTTTGGCGAGAAAATGCATCTATTTACTATATAAGATTCAATCCAGGAATCAACTAATATTTTCATTTAATCATTCGGTGTTCATTTTTTACATTTCTACTTTCAAGGTTTAATCCAACTTCAATATCCAATTTCCTTTCCATTTTCTACACTTCCATGTGTCTTTGCCTCTTCCATTATCTATTTTGGGTTGAACTTTTGTTTTTCGGTTTTTATCCATTTCATAAAATATTGCTTACTTATGGTTTTTTCAATCCATTTCATAAAAGGATTCTTTCATGCTTGCTTCTCTTCAATGTTTGAAGGAATTATTGAAAATGTCAAATACTTTGTTGCAAAACACGAATTTGAATTTATTCATGTTTCTCGTCCAACGGAATTGACTCACCATGCTTTTTGAAGTATTCAGTGAGAATGTCAAATATTTTGTTCTTTATTGAAAAATATGCGTTTATATATGCCCATCTCTTTAGATTATATGAATGTTCTTCAAATTTATGCGAATCACACTCACAATAGCAAATAATACACTTCAAAATGTTTCATATATGAGAATTTTAAATCATAGTCCTATAGTACTCATTATGAGAATTTAACATTTCACTTTTCTAGAGTAATGCATCTTAAATTTTTATGCTATATTATGTTGAGAATTTAATTATAAATACTAGTTTTTGTGTAGCAAGCATTATAGGTTCTGTGAACATGGTAGGAAAACACATAAACTTGGCACATTTATATTACATTGTTGAAGGAAAGTATTACATATTCCAAGAGCTTGGATTATGTGGAATATCGGCCAAAATGACAGATTCTTTTCCGCTTAAATTTAATCAACATTATGAAATTATCTAATCAATCAATTCTTAGATTATACAACACCACCTGAATCAATTATATTATCTCAGATTATGTTAGAATTTGTGCTCTACTTAAATTGTTACAACTTTCTCAATGGAACATGGTTTCGACATCCAGGTATGAATATAATTACCTTTTTTCTCAAATAATCTCACAAGTTAGTTATATGGTGGATATCTTTGTATAAATTATGTTAAACATTCTTCCAAAATAACTGCATAGATAACTAACGAATATCTGCTGCTTTTTTAAGGCATGGATTTAACGTTGTCTTTGGCTAAAACGTTTCAACAAGTTGGACATTTTTCAATTCATTTCTTATTAATGTTAGAAAAGGCAACTTGATGTTTTTATTATTTCCACTATATGAAATTAATATCTAACATATACTTATTCAATTTCAAAACAAATACTATGAATCAGGCTTTGCTGGTTTTTTTCAAAGTTGGCAGCTTTTTAAGTCAGCAAAATGCAGGAAAATATTGAGTTAGAAGATTAAAATTTAAAATGGTGTATGACTTGAGGAATGAAAGAGAAATTTGAAAAACTTGACTCTTAGATTAGATATACATTGTAATTCATAGAGTGCTATGTAAAATTGTATGATAATTGTGAGGGGGCCAAATTGACAAAGAAGATGCTAATAATTAAAAATAAAAATTATTGTCTATATAATTAAAATAATAAAATTATTTATTTTAATTTAATTAGTTTATTGAATTAATATTAGTACATGTTTTTAAGATGTATCTATGTAGGTTTTTAACAACTCTAACTTTATCATTTGGAATTCAAGTAGAATGTTGATTTATTTTTTATTATTATTTTTAACTTTTTTACTTTTTTAACATATCAACATTTCTAAAATTAAATATATGTAGTATTGGTCAAAAAGTATAGGGTGTGCGTGTTTTTTCTATAAAGGCGGGTAGACTCAGGGACTTTTGTAGGTAGATAATACATTTTGGTAGTGAAGGCTTGTTCACGACGGTTTTTGAAGCCGTTTAAGGGATCAGTTCACGTGAGGTGAGAGGCCCTCCAGATAGTCAACGCTGCTTGATTGCAGGCGGGCGATTCAGTTGGTTGTGTATGTTATGGTGGTAATGATAGTGCTCTTTGAGTAGTGGAGAGTGTGTATGACTTAGAGCCTGTCTCTTATCCTCTTGATGGGTGATGTATTTATAGAGGCCTCTAGGACTTAAGGTTTTTTTTCAAAAAATGTCACCGTCCACTTAGTCAACTAGTGGACAGTTGAATCCCTACTTCTAAGTGAGACATGAGTCAGTAATAACTCTAACTTTTTCTTTATCCAAGAAATATCTTACCCATATTTTTCCCATATGGACGAGGAAAAACTCAAGGGCAGAGTGATACTAGATGATCTTTTATCGTCGCCTCTCTAAGGGAGATCCTAGGGTGTCGCCTTAAGTAAGGTCTTTTTGCAAATATAAAACTATATAGTCTCTAGGCACGAGGTCTTCAGCAGAACAAGAATTTTTTTTCCAAATCTTTTATTAATCTATAATATGATTATATCATATAATTAATTTTCACCCGAATAGTCCACCCTTGCTCTACCTTTAATACTAATGTTGTAGCAATTTGTGGAGCAATGAAATTGTGGCTTGCACCACTCTCTACTAACAACAGAATGTTTATTCCTATAAATTTTCCTTTTAGACTTATCGTTATTGGTTGTTTCATTGTCCTCATCATTTCGGACAATTCAAATAGCCTCAATGTGTTACACTTCACGAGTGCTTCCTCTTCTTCAATCTCTTGCACCTCAATTGCAATCACTTTGTTGTTTTCGTTCGCCGTTTCATCATCACCCAAAATCACCAAACAAAATTGCTTGAACATTGTGTCGCACCTCGAAAAATCATAAAGATAATTCAGAAACACAACCCTCGCGCGAAAGGCGCAGAACGCGGTTTGACAGAGTCGCCACCGAACTTTATTTATCCCGAATAAACGGGAAAGGAAAATGTCGAGAAAATCTCTTAAAATGAAAGGATAAGAATAAGGCTGTCACAACCATGTTCCGGGTTCGGGAGTCGGTTACGCAAGGGGAAGATATTAGCACCCCTCACGTTCGTTGTACTCAACGGGAACCTCTTAATTTGAATTGTGATGAACGTTAGTTAAGCTTAGTTGTTCTCTTCTCAATAATAAATACTAAACAATACGATAAAAGAATATAAACGATAAGGGGAAATGGGTGGTTATAGAATAGGATACTCGCCAAGGATTGGAGCTCTTGTACCTACGTATACTCATTCAGACGAGAATGAGAAATCAGAGCGTCGTAGTTCGACTACGGGAAAGGATAAGGGGGAAACGAAAGATGGAGGGGAGGTAGACGGAATCATGGAGAAGGATAGAAGTGTGCTCGCCAAGATCATCGTAATCTTGTGCCTACGTATCTTACATTCAGACGAGAATGAAGAATCAGAGCGTCCTTAGTTCGTGGTAACAACCAAGAAAAGGGACAAGGGTGAAATGGTTTGAAGTGGGTACGAATGACGATTACTTGAAGCTTAAGAAAGGCTCCTCGGGTCTAAGTAATCGGGGAGAACGAGTCAAAGGCTTGACTATCTCTCTTTTTCATCTTGAAAGAAGTTGTGTTTGAAATGATGAATGGTTGGACGATGGTGGAACATTGTTGAGTTGAAAAAGTTATTTAGAGGCGTCAGTTGCTCACACACGAGTAAGATAACTCGCATCCAAACAACTGAAGGGAGATCAATGGCCATATCCTCCTGTTTTCACCTTGAAAAGAATTAAATAGTTGTTAATTGATTAATAGTTTGATTGAGAAAATTCGCTTGACGTTGGATCAAGGGTTTTACTTATATTTGCGTGCAAAACTGTGTTGGAATGGAAATAGGTTTGAGAAATGGCTCGAAGATGAGTTGAGGGTTTAGATTAAAAATGAAACCGACTTGACGACGAATCAAGGGTTAAGTTGTGAGAAGAGGGTGCTTCCAATATCGATACCGCGATGAAATATGAAAGTGTGTGTAATAGGTTGATGGCGAATGCGGACGAGAACTCGACTTACAGAGGAGGGTGTTTGAAAATGGCTCGATGACGAATCGAGAATTGATTTGAAAGTTAGTTTGATCTACGCTAGTCCCTATGGGTGTTCCTAGAAGATAAACCGCAATAAAAAAAAAATACTAAACATGCATTGGAACGAGAGAGGGGTACATGTAAAAGTGAAAACTTCAGTGACATTGTATCATCTCCAACCTTCTAATTTGATTCAGCTTCAAGTTCGCGTTCCAACGTCGTTTTGAGTTTTGGCCCACTTCAGCTTCAGGTTCAAATGTTTTTTTCTTAATTTCAC